TCTTCCAGGAAGCCTTCCTTGCCCGCTGTGGGGCGAACATGGTGTTCCTGCTGTGTGGGTGCTACCCACAGCCCTGCCCCTAAGGTAGCAAAGCAGCACCGGCTACGATCCCATTCATCCATTCATGCCACCGTTCTCCCTTTCTCCCTTTCTCCCTGGCCAGACTCCAGCAGACGATGCCGAGAACAGGCCCAGTGCTCTAGCAGGGTGGTCACCGCCCCCTGTCTGTTGTCATGGAAGTCGGGCCTGCAGGAGCAGACCGCTCTGGGGGCTTGGGGGCGCGAGGCCAAGCAGAGGAATGCAGCCCTGATGCTGGTGGTGGGTGAGGCCTGTGAATTAGGAACTGCGGTGCTCTGCCCGCCCTGCACAGCTCAGCCGAGTCGTAGCCTTCCTGCCCTCCCTCACTTTATCCTGATGAAGAGAGCGATGCGTTTTGTATCTTGTGAAGGGCGAGAACGGTTGAAGCGTACCACGCAGAGCTGGGACGGGAGCAGCGGGGTGGGCAGTAGTTTTCTGAGCACAATCCGTTAAGGCTGTGCTTTCTAAAAGCCTTGCACTTGTGACACGAGCCAAAGCCTGCTCGGTTTCCTCTCTCAGAGACAGCAGCCTGCTGCTCTTAGGAAGCAGATTTTTTTCTTCTTTTTTTATTATGTTACTTGCAAGCCAAAGCACAACAGAAAATGGCTATTGCGCACAATAGAACAGTCCAGCTGGCACCCAGAAAGGGGGGTGGCAGGGGGGCTTTTCCAAATGAGCAGGAAGCCTGCGCACTTGGGCCTGCCACCGTGGCCTCTGCTCCAGCACAGCCCACCAGACCCCAGCTCCCAATTAGCTGCCCCACCCTGCGTGTCGGGCTCTCGCTGATGTGGTTTTTCCTGATGAGACACTTCTGGGCCGTGTCAGCTTCCACGTGTGCTGTGGCTGCCTTGACTGCAAGGTGGCATCAGGGCAGATTCCCCCCCCCCCCCCGCCGACCCCCACCAGCTGTGAGCCGGTCATGAGCTGGGGCGGGGCTGTGCCCTGGGGTGTGCCCAGCAGCCTCTGGTGATGCTGCGTCCCGTGGAGCCAAAGACGCTTTGCCTTCACCAAGTGTGTGAAAGCCATAGACATCACCTTATCTTATCGAAATATGAAGAGAAGCCTACTTTATATAAAGACTCTTATTTTTTTTTAAGGGAAAGGGTTTATTGGGGAAAACCCAACAGGGAAGGGGCAAGGAAGGAAAAAGAGGGAGGAGGGTAAGAGAGATAGAGAGATGGGGAGAGAGAGAGGAGCTGAGAGAGAGGTGAGAGAGAAAGAGCTATAAAGACTCTTTTTAATATTTATTTTATTTATTTATTTGAGAGGCAGAGTTACAAAGAGAGAGAGGGAGAAACAGAGAGAGAGCTCTTCCATCCGCTGTTTCATTCCTCAAATGGCCACAACGGCTAGAGCTGGGCTGATCTGAATCCAGGAACCAGGAGCCCCTTCCAGGTCTTCCACGCTGGTGCAGGCACCCCAAGGACTTGAGCCATCCTCCATTGCTTTCTCAGGCACATTAGCAGGGAGCTGGATTGGAAGTGGAGCAGCCAGAACTCAAACTGGCACCCATATAGGATGCCAGTGCCGCAGGGGGAGGCTCAACCCACTCCGCCACAGGGCCGGCCTCCAGGACTGTCATCTTCATGAGCTGGGAAATGTTTCTGTCCTCTTTCCTTCCAACTAGCCTCTTGTACATGGCTCCGCCAACATTTGAATTCACACCCACAGTCAGTCGCTGTTGGCCTGCTACTAAGGAGGCAGCAGCAGAGCTGGGTCTCATCAGTGAGGTAATGACCTCCTTACCTGTGAGATGGGGCTGGTAGTAGCTGCAGGCAGAGCCATCGTGAGGCTGGGGAACCATCTACCTGCTCTACGAGAGAACTCCTAACAGCTCATGGAGCCGGGCTGGGCATTTGACACGGTGGTCAACAGGTCACTTGGGAAGCCTTCACCCCTATCAGAGTGGCTGGCACAAGTCCCAGCTCTCCTCCCAGGTACAGCTTCCTGCTAATGCACACCCTGGAAGGGAGCAGTAATGGCTCAACTAATGGAGTCCCTGCCACTCACATAGGAAACCTGGATTGAGTTCCCGGGTTGGCTCCTGCCTTTGGCGTGGGCCAGCCCCAGCTGTCGCAGGCATTCAGGGAGTGAGCCAGCAAACGGAAGTCTTTGTCTCTCTGCCTTTCAACTAAATTGAAAATAAAAGATCATTTAGAGTTCATAGAACAGTAGAATTAAAAGATAAGGTTTTTTTTTTTAAGATTTCTTTATTTATTTAATTTGAAAGAGTGACAGGTGGGGCAGGGAAGAGAGAGATATTTCATCTGCTGGCTCATTCCTGCAATGGTCACAAAGGCTCGGGCTGGGCCAGGCAGAAGCCAGGAGCCGGGAACTCTGCCTGGATCTCCCACATGGGTGGCAGGGGCCTGAGTACTTGGTCCACGTTGTGCTGCTTTCCCAGGTGCATGAGCAGGGAGCTGGATTGGAAGCCAAGAGTGGGACTCGAACCTGCGCTCCAGTATGGATGCTGGCATCACAGCAGCGGCTTACCCCTCAAGGCTGGCCCCAGGGATGAGTTTATCTGGATGCAAGGAAATCCTGAAGGCCAGTTTGTTCATAAGATGCCTTTTCCATGAACTTTGCGTGGTCCCCCCATAGTCCCCTGCCCAGGACCTGGAGTCTGACAGCCACAAGGTGCTTTACCTGCGGTGTTGCGAAGGCCCTCAGACTTCACATGGCCATAAATGAAACACTTCATAGTCCACTGTGTGCATACACCCCAGTGACTGGCAGTTACAACCCATGCCCCTTCGCTGTCTCCCTGCTGTCTGTTCCCTCCTGCATTTGGGAAGATCCCCCTCCCTCCAGCCTGTGTCATAGGACCACAACGGGACCATAGCAGAGTGAGCCTGCCTTGAAAATCAGACAGACTTTATCTCATTTTGGAGAAGATAACATCATCTGAACTATTTTTTTTTTTTGACAGGCAGAGTGGACAGTGAAAGAGAGAGAGACAGAGAGAGAAAGGTCTTCCTTTGCCGTTGGTTCACCCTCCAATGGCTGCCGCTGCAGCCGGCGCACCGCACTGATCCGATGGCAGGAGCCAGGAGCCAGGTGCTTTTCCTGGTCTCCCATGGGGTGCAGGGCCCAAGCACCTGGGCCATCCTCCACTGCACTCCCTGGCCATAGCAGAGAGCTGGCCTGGAAGAGGGGCAACCGGGACAGAATCCGGCGCCCCAACCGGGACTAGAACCCTGTGTGCCGGCGCCGCAAGGTGGAGGATTAGCCTATTGAGCCACGGCGCCGGCTCTGAACTATTATTTTTTAATTCTCCATTTCATTTATTTGAATCCCAAAGAGAGAGACCTCCCATCTGCTGGGTCATTTCCCAAAAGCCAGCAACAGCCAGGACTGGGCCAGGCAGAAGCCAGGAGCCATGAACTCTATCCAGGTCTCCCATGGGGGTAACAGGACCCCCAACCCAACTCATTTTTTTTTTCTTTTTTTAATTTATTGGAGAAGTAGAGTTATAGAGAGAGGCAGATGCAGAGAGAGAGAAGAGAGATCTTCCATCCGCTGGTTCACTTTCCAGATGGCCGCAATGGCTGGAGCTGTGCCAATCCAAAGCCAGGAGCCAGGAGCCTCTTCAGGGTCTCCCACACAGGTGCAGGGGCCCAAGCACTTGGGCCATCTTCTACTGCTTTCCCAGGCCACAGCAGAGAACTGGATCAGGAGAGGAGCAGCCGGGTTACAAACGTGCCCATACGGGATTCCAGCACCGCGGGTGGAGGCTTAGCCCACTACACCACAGCGCAGTCCCCAGCCCAGCTACTTGAACCATCGCCTGCTGCCTCTCAGGATGGTCATTAGCAGGAAGCTGGAGTCGGGGAAGCACCTGGGACTCACACGGGCACGCCCAGTATGGGCTATGGGCATCCCAAAGAGCATCTTCCAGCCATGCCGCCAAGCACCTGCCTTCTCCCTTCTCTGTCTTTGTAACGAGGACTATAAAACCCAGTGTTGTAGTCAGTTTGAACAGGGCAAACCCTCTGAAGATGTCTGTCATGTACGATGTGTCTGTAGCCTTCATTCCACCTGTGGGGGAGGGGGCGGGGGAGAGTGATGGTTCCAGAGAAGGGAACTAAATTGTGCTCCTGGTGTGATGTCCTTGTTGAAAAATCACAAAGCTACAGAGAAGGCGTCTTTCCACTCGAGGACCGGGCTTGTTTACGCCAAAGCACCAGCCCTGGCTTGTTCCGTGTGTTTAGCCCCTGCTGTTGTCCTACCCCCTGCCTCTGTCAATATGGCAGGCTCAGGGAATCCTGCAGAAAGGGTGCCAGGCACCTGTCCCGGAGGCGCAGGTGGTCCACTGGTGGAACAGGGAAGCACGTAAAAGCCCCGGAGGTCAGCAGGGGCCTGGCCGCCTGCTCCATTCCTTGGCAGTGTTGAGCAGGGAGCTGCTGGCTGCCCTGGGAAGGGAGCGGAGGCTCACAGAAGGTTCCCCAGGCGGGCAGAGGACGAGGAGCATCCCCCAGGCTGCAGCACCTCACCCTGGAGCCCCAGGTTGAGGGGGCGCGGGGTGGGGGGTGGTGGAAGCTGAGCTAAAAGCTCCAGGCCAAAGGCCCCGCCCACAGGCGGCACTGGCTTCCACGCTGAGTTCCCCAGAAGCCTTCCCAAGTAGGTAGGGGCTTCTTGTGTTATCTTTGTACTGGACGGGCCAACTGCCCTGCACATGCGTAGCTTTTGCCGCCGGCGGGGTCTCCCCGACAGGCCCCTTTCCCCAGGTGAGAGGGTGAGTGGGGTCCCAGCGCGCCCAGCATCCCCGCCGCCCCAGACAGTGGCAGAGGCCCTGAGACGCTGGCACGGGCCCGTGCAGACAAAATCCCCGAGAGCCAGTCGCCGGCTGAGAGGGAACCGTTGCTTTGGACAGCCCTGATGACGCCCGTTCTTTGTCCCCTTCTCTCCCCTGCCCCGCCCAGGCGCCCTTCTGCTCGGAGGGATCCTGTACTCCTGGCAGTTTCCGCATTTCAATGCCCTGAGCTGGGGCCTCCGCGAAGACTACTCCCGGGGCGGCTACTGCATGATGTCCGTCACCCACCCGGGGCTGTGCAGGCGCGTGGCGCTGCGCCACTGCCTGGCCCTCATCGCGCTCTCCACCGCGGCCCCCATGCTGGACGTCACCACGTGGACCTTCCCCGTCATCTCGCTGCCCATCAACCTGTACATCTCCTACCTCGGCTTCCGCTTCTACGCGGATGCGGACCGCAGGAGCTCGCGGAAACTCTTCTTCTGCAGCCTGTGGCACCTGCCGCTGCTCCTGCTGCTGCTGCTCACCTGCAAGCGGCGGCCGGCGGGCCCCGCGGACCCCGCGGACCCCGGCCAGCTCCCCAGCTGAGAACGCCGCTGGGCAGCGAGGGCCGGATGGGGAAGCAGGAAACCCCGACGCGCAGACGCACAGTTCTCCCTTTGCTGTGAGGCCAGAGTAGCCGGGTCATCCCGGAGCTGCCCAAGAGGAGAAATGGCTGGATTTAGTACAGTGTGTTAAAACTGGTGCTCGGCGGTCACTTGACAGCTTTTTTTTTTTTTTAATGATAGTACCCAAACTACCGAACTACAGGTAGGCTCCCACAGTACAAAGAATATTTTTTTTTCTCTTGGCCGGTCTGTATACATCTCCTTTTGCCAACCAATGGCACGCCCCATGTTTTTTCTTTTTCACAGGAATGTACACACGTGCCTCTTCTTTTCTGGCCCAACATACACATGCATCTGTAGATACACATGCATGTACACATAGGCATATACACACATTCATATACGCACACACATGCACTGCATATAATGTATGTGTGTGCATGCATGTGTGCACACGTGCACATGCGTGTATGCACACGCACCTGCGTGTGTGCACATGTGCATGTGTGCATACATGCATGCGCACAGATACACACGTACATGCACGCATATACGCACTCCCCACCTTCCAGCCGTGGTGGCAGTCGGTATGCAGACAGGGTGAGCGCCTGGCGCCTGGTGCCTGCAGCTCTGTGTCCTCAGGGCCCCCCACGTCCTCGGAAGAAGCAGGCACCCCCTGTGAGTGAGCCAGGGCCCACCCCAGCTTTCTCTGCTCCACAGATATCCCAAGCACACGTCCCACCAATAACAGGACACCAGAGGTGGGCCACTGTGCACCGCGGCAGTAGGGGGGCCTCCAAACGGTTGTCTGGGGCCTTGCAAACTGGACTGCCAGTCCCTGCGCCCCTCCTGCACCCTCCTGACATATCAGTGGTTCAGAAACTCCAAGGAATCGAAAGTACCTTCATAGCTCGCTTTGAAATGGAGGCTCTATCTGAGCGTTTCTCACCGGAACAGTGGCATGAGCCATCCGCCCCTGATCCCATGACCACACGCGCTGGCCGGGCTCTGGCTGCCCTGCCCTCTCCAGGCTTCGCCAAAAGAGAAGTCAGAATCAGGTGTGAGCCGGGCTAGCCAGCCCACAGAACTCCCATACTGTCCCTTTTGTGAAAAATACCCTTCCACCTGGTGTCTGCCCAGTTCGGAAATCAGCATCCACAGGGCCAAGGCTTTAAGAGCCACAGGCAGGGGCTGGGCTCCCTACGGGGGTGGCTTGGGTCCTGGGAGCGTTGTGAGTCACTGTGTGCACTTGTGGGTCTTCAGGCCTTCCCAAACCCACCCCCACCCAGGTCCCTATAGAGTCCCATGAGCCTGGCGGGCGTGAAGCGCCGCACGGCGCCTGAATGTCGTCTAGGGGACGGCAGCCCTGCAGGGACTCTTTCAAGGGGTTTCAGCAACATTTTTATTACACAATGACAGATCGTAGGATTTTTTTTTTTTTAGTCCGATGTGAAATTTAAACAGCTCACTGTCTGCACGGTGCCTGCTCTCTGAGAAATGCCTAGAGCGCTGGCGGTAGCATCCGATGCCTACGATTGCTTCTCTGAAATAGTCCCTCGTGGCTGTGTCCAGGCGATGTGCTGTGGGGAACACAGCGTAGGAGTGTCTGGAGAGGGTGTTGCGAAAGCTTGCCATAGTTCTCAGGTCGGTAAACTGTTGATTCTCTTCCGCTTCTGCAGTAGAACTGCAGAAAAACAGGAGCGTTCGAGGCCACTCGGTTGCTCATCCTGGGCTCAGTTCGCACACTTCAGCAGGACTGCTGACACTGGACGTCGTGAGCCAGCAGGGCACAGCAGGTGCCTATTTATTCCCCCCCCCCCTTAATTTTTATTTTTTTAATTGTCAATTGGAAAAATGACAGTTGTATGTATTTATGGGATCCAAAGTGATGCTATGATGTATGAATACAATTCATAACTAAATAAAGTTAATTTACATATCCGTTGCTTCAAATCCGCGTCTTTCTGTTGTGCAAGAACACCGGACGTTGATTTACTCTGAGTGACTTTCCGTACGGTTCCTTATTATTTACCATAGACACGTTCACCACACTGTGCAGACTATCACAAAGGACAAAACCTCCTCCTGCCGTCTGCGTGAGGCTGTGCACCCCTGACTGGCATCCGCTGCCTCCCCTCCCAGCTTCAGTAGCCACCGTTCTGCTCCTCCTTTGGGATTCCACATTTAAGTGAGAACGTGTGGTGTCCGTCTTTCCACGCCTGGCTTATTTAAACTGAGCCCAATGTTCTCACAATAGCCATCCTTCTTCAAGGCTGGGTAGTATGCCGTTGTGTATACAAACCCTATTTTTTCCATCCATTCGTCTGTAGAGGAGCACCAAGGCTTGATTCCATAACTTAGCTATTGGGAACATTGCAGCAATGAACATGGAAGAGCAGACATCTCTTTGATAAGCTGATTTCACATCCTTGGAATAAATACCTGGAGGTGGGATCGTCAGACCCCATGATTCTTCCGTTTCCAGGTGTTTGAGGGACTTCCGTGGAACTTCCATAAAGGCAATACGGATTTCCATCCCCTCACAGCCTTCCCTTCCCGAAGCATCTTGGACATGTCATCATTCCTCCTGATAGGCATAGCTGTTCTGGGGGCTGGGAGCCTCCCTGATCAGTGACATTGAGCTGTTCTTCATCTCTTGGCTGTTTTAGAAAAACATCTGCTCAAACACGTGGGTATTTCATGTTTCAATTAAGTGTAAGTGGACACCTTGGGGCCGGCGCCGCAGCTCACTAGGCTAATCCTCCGCCTTGCGGCGCCAGCACACCGGGTTCTAGTCCCGGTCGGGGCGCCTGATTCTGTCGCGGTTGCCCCTCTTCCAGCCCGGCTCTCTGCTGTGGCCCAGGAGTGCAGTGGAGGATGGCCCAAGTGCTTGGGCCCTGCACCCCATGGGAGACCAGGAGAAGTACCTGGCTCCTGGCTCCTGGCTCCTGGCTCCTGGCTCCGGATCAGCGCGGTGCGCCGGCTGCAGCATGCCGGCTGCAGTGGCCATTGGAGGGTGAACCAACGGCAAAAGGAACACCTTTCTCTCTGTCTCTCTCTCTCACTGTCCACTCTGCCTGTCAAAAAAAAAAAAAAAAAAAAAAAAAAAAGAGCACCTTGGGTTTTTTTTGTTTTTGTTTGTTTTGTTTGTTTTTTGTTTTTGTTTTTGTTTTTGGCAGGCAGAGTTAGACCATGAGAGAGAGAGAGTTATAGACAGTGAGAGAGAAACAGAGAGAAAGGTCTTCCTTCCATTGGCCGCTACAGCTGGCGCTGCGCCAATCTGAAGCCAGGAGCCGGGTGCTCCTCCCGGTCTCCCATGCGGGTGCAGGGACCCAAGCACTTGGGCCATCCTCCGCTGCCCTCCCAGGCCACAGCAGAGAGCTGGACTGGAAGAGGAGCAACCAGGACTAGTACCCGGCGCCCCAACCGGACTAGAACCCGAGGTGCCGGGCCGCAGGCGGAGGATTATCCAGGTGAGCCACGGTGCCAGCCACCTTGGGTTTTCGACACTTGGGCACACAGAAGAAGAAACGATGGGCCATGAACTCTCACCCCTGCACCTACTATTTGCAGTCTCTTCTGACTTGCAACTCTCCTGCTCCAAAGATCTCAGTGTTGTCCCGTGGATGGAGCCAAGTGAAGTCAGGACTTCGCCACACTCAAACCCCAGCTCATCCTCCAGGGACCTTTTCCTTGACACCGCCTCATGCCACGCCTCGCTGCAGGCTCCCTGTGCTCGGGGAGGTTTCCCCCCTCCTCACCCGAGGCCCGAGCCTTGACTGGCCCTCCCCAGGACTCTCCAATGCCCAGGATTTCCCGGTTGGGTGGAGTATCCATTCACCAAGGGCATCAGTGGGCGGTGCTGCCCCTCACTACTGTCTTGAGGAAGGCCAAGGGGACCAGGAAGCTGAAGAAAAGTCAGAAGGGCTGAGTTTGTGGAAGCAAGCGTTCCCCATATCTTCTAAGCCCAGGACCCTTCCTGCTGTGTCTCTCTCTCACACACACACACGCACACAGCCCTTGAGTGGTGTCGGAGGAGGGCTGTGCAGACTCGGAAAGACTGTCTGTACCAACCTCATCAGTTTTCCCTGCAGCCCTCAGGCCAGCTTGTGGGGCTGGAGCCTGGGACGCGGAGTCTGAAGCAGGGTACAACTTGGAGCTTGGTTATTTACAGAACAGCAAACTAATGGAAAAGGGACATGACTGGTCCCCTAAGTAGCTTTCTTGTGAAAACATGATTCTCGACGCTGGCGGACAGGCCCCCGACTGGAGCTGCTCTGGCTCGGAATGTGTGGCCTTTATGTTGATGCAAAAGCCATGTGGATTCTGCACAAACCAGGCAGGGAATTCAAACCTTTCCTGGGGCGAGCAGTGGGGACGCTGGGTACAGCGGCGAGCGCAGCTCTCGGTCCCTAAGGGAAGCAGCCCTCGTCCTGCCTTGTGCCGTGGCTGGGGGATTCCAGGCACTTTCAACTCCCCCTATTTCCAATTGAGGATGCATTTATTTGGACGAAACCCCATTGTAGGTCCCTGTCGCTCTGGGAGTGCTGACACAAGTTCCTTTGGTTTAGTAAACCCACTCTGTCAGTTGAGGATAAAACCAAGCTTCACCCAGGAGTCCTCTGTAAGTGAAGGGAATGCCCTCGCCTAGTTCTCGGATTGGGTTTTCTTTACCAACAAAAGTGGGCTGCTCCACTTCCAGTCCAGCTCTCTGCTGTGGCCTGGGAAAGCAGTAGAAGATGGCCTAAGTCCTTGGGCTCCTGCACCCACATGGGAGACCTGGAAGAAGCTCCTGGCTCCCGGCTTCTGATGGACCCAGCTGCAGCTGTTGTGGCCATTTGGGGAGTGAACCAGCGGATGGAAAATCTCTTCCTGTCTCTGTCTCACCCCTCTCTAACTCTGCCTTTCAAATAAATAAATAAATCTTTAAAAAAAAAAAAAGTGCATGTCCTTTATCTTGGAAACCTCAGACCCTAGAGCTGGAAGAGAAAAGAAAATTGTGGCAGGCTGTGTTTTGCCCTGGGCACATACGGCATAGAAGTGCCCTGTGACAGCTTACTCTTCTCTAGTCCATCCTGCCCGTCCATGGTCACCTCCTGGTGGCATTGCTGAGAAGATCTCTGAGACTGGGGGCAATGCTAGGAGCAGAGAAGAGCTTGTTCTGCCTGCTGGCACTGGTGGGATGGGATGCCCACTCCCCCTCTGACGCCCACCCTCCATGCGATGGGCCGGCCACAAGGATGAGGTCCCCATGTAATGCTGACTTCAGAAGGAACTCGGAAGAGAAAGGTTTCTGAAAAATTCTCATCTTATAATGACAGGTTTGTATCCCTTATAATGACAGGTTTGTATCCAGAAGAACTCCCCATTTGACTTCAGTGAGGACTTGGGTTCGAATGGTTTTTTGGTTCTTTGGGATTAGGGGCTGACCGGTGATCTCCCCTGCATAGCTCTGTGTCATTAGTGGCGTGATTCCTCCGTCTGTCTGCTAGGATTGGTGGTGTCAACCAGGCAGACAACTAAATAAAAATCAAGTGGAAAATGGACAGGGTCCAACAGCTGATTTGGACCTGTGGTGTGCTGTTTTTCTTCTTTTCCCCACAACCATCAAAACTTTTAAATAAATTGATATCTTAAAATGCCTCCGACCCGTAAAAATGCGCAAGTACTACAATCAAAAAAAAAATTTAAGTATTTTTTTTTAATCTGGCTCCTAGAGTACCATTGATCTGATCAAAACTCAGAAACTGGAAACATAAAAAGGATTTTTTGGGGGAGGGGGATCTTAGGAATTACAGTTCAGGACACATAACTTCAGATAGTTCTGAATCAGCATTCCCAAGAAGGCAGGAAATAAGTGTAAGCTTAGGTAGTCCGTTGAATGCTGGAAAGGGACAAGGACCACCTGGCTCCCAGAAGATAAAAGAACAAAAATCCGAAGCACCAGCATCCCATATGGGCACTGGTTTGAGTCCCAGCTGCTCCACTTCGATCCAGCTCTCTGCTGTGGCCTGGGAAAGCAGTAGAGGATGGCCCAAGTGCTTAAGCCCCTGCACCCACATGGGAGACCTGGAAAAAGCTCCTGGCTCCTGGCTTCGGATTGGCACAGCTCCGACCATTGCGGTCATTTGGGAAGTGAATGAGCGGGTAGATTCTCTCTCTCTCTCTCTGCTTTTCAAATAAATAAATCTTTAAAAAAGAAAAAGAATGTAAACGCCCATGAAGCAAGAGTCCGGTGGCCTCTCAGTGCACATCTTGAGCCTCTGGGCACGATGCAGTTGTCCTCTGTTCAGGTCCATGCCAATTCCGCGGAAGCTCCGAGAGGCGAGACACCTGCATTCCGATTGGCCGCGCCTGAGTCGTGACACACCCTGGGACCCATCACTGAGTCCTCTGAAAACATTACTCAGGTCTGACCCCGCTCACCCCCTCCCACCACCACCTACCTGCCCTACTCTCCAAGTCACGTGCCAATAGGCTTTCGAATTTATCTTCGCCTCCTTCCCTCCCCGCTTTTCATATAGCAGTCAGCATGATCCTTCCAGGAAACCCAGCAGATCACGCCATTGCCCTGTCCCCCACACTGCAAAGGTTTCCCTTCTAACCAGGAATGAGATGCAGAGAACTTAGCAGTGGCCTGCGGGTGAGGTGGGGGAGACTGGCAGTCAGCAAGGGATAGGAGCTGAGGACTGCAAACCCCCAAGCCACGTGCACCGCCCATATCTGCCGTCCTCCATGCTGATTGGACAAGGCTGAGGACTCGGCCCACCGGCTCCTCATGCGGCTAAGCCTCACTCCTGCTCCAGACGCCATGACACCTATAAATTCAAGCAAGAACAAGTGTGTTTCTCACTGTTTCCACAAGCATCTAGAGCAGACGACAGTGCATAAATGGCCATGCGATGGACGCTCCATCAGTGACGGAAGAACGAACATATGAG